GTGTGGGGCTGTGGGTGTCTGCCTGAAGCGTGCCCGGCTCCAGGAATGATACCCTGCTTATGGAAAAGGGCTGGTGTTATTTCCTCCTTGATGTTGCGGTGTAAGCATGTAGCCTTTCTCCACAGAGTGGAGTCTCCAGCAAAGCTATCCTTGGCTGTTTCCAATACATGTTTAGTTTCCTGTTGTAGCAAGGCACGTGTCATCCATCACTTTAACAAGCAGTTGAAATCATCATGGTGAGTTTGGAGTTATATTTTCCCTCCTCTAAGAGAGCATCATGCAGGCTTCCTCAAAGAGCATAGAATAGTTTGGGTTGGAAGAGACCTTCAAAGGTCATCTAGTCCAACCCTCAAGAATGAGTGGATGGGAAAAAAAGAAGAAACAAGTTAACAAACCTTTGCTTTTCAGCAGATTGCCTGAAGTTAGAAATGTCCCTGTTCAGGTGATGGTCTTTTAGTACCAATCATTTGCATACTGATCTCTGCCTCTCTTCAAGTGTTTAGAGGTCATCTTTTAAGACACTGTTTTAGCCTACTTGATTCTACGCATATGATTTAAAAGAAGAGACATTTTGGTGAAGATGTGGCTACATGTTCTCTCTCCTCATCCACCAGTCTGTGCCAGAATTGTTCTTCCATTGAAGCATTCTCTTGCAGATCAATTAGTCCATCCACACAAAGTCTTCCAGGACCTACAGCCTCTGTGTTTGTGTTCATGGACCTGCTTATCTAATAGCCCAAGGGTGCTGAGCTCAGTCAGGGTCCATTGCTCCATTACAGGTACCTGGGAAACTGGCAGGAATTGCTGTAGCGGGCAGAGGTGGTGCATTGCCCTTCTCTGAAAACAAACAACGCTGATGGTTACCGATGCTGGCTCCACGGACAAAACTCCCCTTGAGTTCAGCAGAGATAAGCCCATAAGCACAATGGTTTGGTTCACTGTGTCATGGCATGTAGTGGAATATACTGCAATGGGTGGAGGGAAATACGTTTTGATGGTGAAGTCATTCAGTCTAAGCAACATGAGAAAATTACACTTACAAGAGTAACAGGAACAAAACCACAATGGAGAAAGAGCACACAGGACTCGTGAATATACATCTATAGATGGTATTAGGGTATGTCAGACCTCTTCTTGAAAGTGTTTGCTGAAAGTCAGCAGAAGCAACTGTCTCTATTTTGACTGTAAACACTTTACAGCAGGTAATTTTCAAAGGGTTTCACCAGCATGTAGGACACCGCACTCCTAATCCATTCCACTTGGGCCATTAAGTAACAGCATTACAATTCCACTTTGGATTTCCCTCTGGGCACATTCAAAACCAGCTGGAGATAAAAATACCTTTGTGGAGCTCTTGCTTTTCTGACATCCTCTCCATTCCTCTTGGCATGTTTCAGCTCCTCACCAAGGATGTGAAGCAGCGGCTAGGATGTCAAGGGGAAGGTGCAGCAGAAGTGAAGAAGCACCCCTTTTTCAAGAGCATGAATTTCAAGCGGTTA